TTTGGTGACAGTTATAGAGAGTAAGCATTGATAGGGTTTCACAGGTTTTACACATAAAACACGTTTTCTATGCATTCATTCAAATGTTTTTGTTTTCATTCATTCATTGTTTTGAAATTACAATTCAATCAATAATTGAATTAATTATTAAAATTGTGTCAAAAATGTGCGAAATATTAATCAATGATTTGATGGAAGAGTTGAGAGAAGAAAACCAAAGATTGACCGAAGAGTTGGCATCAGTTATGAGACAATTACACGACAACCAAAGAATCGATGCAGAGGTCAACACATGTGTGGATCAGATGACTGACAGACGCAGTGGTCAGTCGTCTATGCGGTCAACAGTCGGCACACAAACGAGTGATTCAATTGAAGACATCATAGGATCAGATGAAGACAGACCAATCGATAACATCATTGGTAGCAAAGAATTGGCGGTCGTTTCAGACACTCGACAATGGGATCCGATTGATGTGATGCCCAATGAATGCCAATCAGAATCACTGATAAATTATCGCCAAATCAGTCCTTTCGGTGATACCGGAGATGAAGACAACAAAAGCGTTACGTTTGCGGCCTTTTATGAGTCCATCGGTGGTCAGCGTTCAGACACTGAATCCACTCCTGAGCCACACATTCAACACATGAATACCACGAGTGGTGTCGAGAGTGAAGACAATACCGAAGAACACTCAGACTCTAACGGATCCAATGGTTCTTCCAATGAAGTGATGAATGGTTGCGAAGAAAGTGGTGATTGTGTGGACGTCTCTGACATTCAGACCACTAAAACAATCACTGATTCGCAGTCACGTGAAAGTGAAGACAACACCGAAGACATTGTCAATGAAAACCTCACGGATTCCATCGGATCTACAAATTCTCCGCATAATGTGGTCACAGATTTATACACCGAAGACAGTCGTCGGCCAATCGATGGCCGGCCAAAGGATAAGCCCTATAAATGCCATTTCATTGGTTGCGGGAAAGCATTCAAACAATCAAATGCTCTGTTGAGACACCGATTGATACACTCGGGCGACAAACCGTACAAATGCCCGATCGATGGCTGCGACTACCGGTGCCGTCAACGCCAACAGCTGAGCGCTCACACTAACCGACATCTGGGAGTCCGGCCGTACGCATGCGCTGTCCAGACGTGCCGTAAAGCGTTTCTCTCTAAACACCACTTAAGAGAACACCGATTGGTCTACTCGGACGCCCGGCCCCACCCGTGCCCTCACCCGCGCTGTACTCAACGGTTCAAAACCCCGTCAAACCTTCGCAATCATTGGGTGGCTGTTCACCAATGAGTGGGTGACCAGAGGTTAAGCACCCGATTGCCCGGCGCTGGCCGTTGCTAATGGTTACCCGTGTGTTGTATTTGTAATGGTTTTTATGCCTACTTTTAATCATTAATTTTTATAATCATTTGAATTACAATTAAGATTATATAATAATAAAAATGTAAACTATTTTAAATGTGTTAATAATTTTAGGGAACAATTCAAACAATGTATTGATTACTTTAATTATACGATTAGTTTTAATTATGATAATTGAAAAACTTATTACATTTTAATTCAAATCATAAACAAATGCATTTTTTGTGCTAAAAATTTCATATCGTGTGTAATATTGATTGTAATTTTCATTAATAAAATTATTATTTGTTAATAAAATCAAATTTAATTCAAATGCAATTTTAATTTAATTTCTTAAACGTATTTATTGTTGCAAAACTAGTTTTCAAATATTTAAATATACATTTTATTAAATTTATTTACTTAATTACCAATTCGTTATGCGTTTGTCTTTAAGTTGAATATATTTATAACGTTTCTCTTCATCAATGATATGAATGGACTCTAATCTATCACTTGTGCTAAACATTGCCTTCAAATGCCTTTCAGTAATAAGTATTGAATCCGTCGAATGTATTATAAATTTATTTAGTTTTTTCAATTTTGAGATGAGAATCAAATTAATGTCATTTATATAACAATTACTCCAATCGTGAATATCAAGTAATCGTAGGTTTGGGAAAATATCAACAATTTTGTCAATCAATTCATTGGGTATTTGCAATAAATCCAGAGATAAATGTGTTAATTGTGGCAAACATTGCATTGAATCCAATGCTCGCCAATTAGTCACTTCTTGTCCATCATATCGTAAATTAATCTTAAGCTGTTTTAAGCGACGATATGTTTCCATTGATTTTAACGCATTTAATATAATTATTTGACTGTTTGTATTAAAAGTAAGTGAAAATGATTTTAATTTTTTAAATTTAAATCCCATTTCACGCAAAGAGTGAGACAATGAATACGAGAGTAAATAGTATTCACTGAAATGTAGCGACAATTCATGCAATTCTTGTAATTGTAATAATTGTGGCATAAATTCAATAATAAAATCACGACATGTATTGACGCCAATAATATTAGTTATGGACAGACTTTTTAGACATTTATTATGTGACACAAAAATAGGAAATAATGTGTTATTAAATCCATTGTGGAAACAGACTTCTAATTGTGTTAGATTTTTAACAATTATTTCCAATTCATTATTAAATATATATTCAATTTTCTCAACTTTTAATTGTGATAATCGGTGACAATAAGACAGCAACGAGTGATCAAAGTAAACATTTTGAACATTTTTTGTGTCTAAATATGTGATTATTTGGCCAAACATATCAAATATTTGGCACATACTATTTTGGTCAAATAAATTTATATTAAATAAAATTGATTTTAAATATTGCCAATTGTCTCGCATTTTGTTCATTGCTATAAATAATTGCATTAAATCGTTGCTATAAATAACATGTGTTGTGTCGACACGTGTTATATTCGGACACTTTTTCATCAATTTTGACAAATTTCTTTCTGTCCAGTATTTCATACCAAATATGTTTTCTTCGCATAATTTCTTCATCAGTCTGTGGTCGACATCGATGTCCGTAAGTGTTGTGTAAATCAATGTCTGGAACCGTTTGGACAGACATTCAAATGGGAACCGATCTTCGAGTGGGANGTCCGTAAGTGTTGTGTAAATCAATGTCTGGAACCGTTTGGACAGACATTCAAATGGGAACCGATCTTCGAGTGGGAGATAACTGACGATCACTTCAACCAATTCTTTGCCAAACCTTTCCATTGAATCCCTTTTTGTTTCCATATTGGATCATTTTCGATGTTAACAACAAAATTACTTAAAAATTAAGGCATTTATAAATAAAGAATAGTTTTTACGATAATTTTTCAAATATTAAATCTTTAATATTGCGATTAAAAATCATTTCACAAGAAATATTCACATTCACATTAATAAATTAGCAATAGGGTGATTCACTGTGTATAAGGCATATAATTATTTAAAAAAACTACCCTTTAGGTAATTTTAGTCATTTATTGGATTAATTTTGAATTAAATCCAGATTCTACTAATTATTAGTGTTTTCTGATATTTAGTTTAAGAATATAAAGTATTAGTATTAAACTTGAGTTCAGTAAAAGTTTCTTTTGAGAAATAGTAACTTTTCAGAATAATCTGACAAAATATTAATTAGTATTTTGTAATTAATTATTAATATCAAAATTATCGTTTAAAAGAGTAGAAAATTATATATCAATGCATTTAATGTTAGAAACACTTTGTCTTAAGAAGTGATTGAAAAATGTGTAAAATATTTTATACGAAAGACTGGTTTGAGAGGTTTGGCGACGATTTGGTTGAAGTGATCGTCAGTTATCTCCCACTCGAAGATCGGTTCCCATTTGAATGTCTGTCCAAACGGTTCCAGACATTGATTTTCACAAGACTTACGGACATCGATGTCGACTACAAACTGATGGAGAAATTGAGTGAAGAAAACATTTTTGGTGATAAATACTTTACTTCAAAAAATTTGTCAAAATTGATGAAAAAGTGTCCGAATATAACACGTGTCGACACAACATATGTTTACAGTGACATAAGTTTAAGAAATTTTTATACTGAATTGTATAAAATGCGGGACAATTGGCCAAAACTGACACAAATTTATTTACATATCAACGATTATGACAACGAATTGCAAAAATATTTGCTAAAAAATTTTGGTTCTTTTATTATATTCTTGGATATCGTTTACTATCCAATAAAAAGTCCAGAAGACGTCCCTTTTGATCACTCATTATTACAATATTGCCACAAATTATCTCATTTCAAATTAAATCAATACACAGATTGTTTTGATTCAAGCAATCAATTAATGCTAAAGAATATAATCAAATTTGAATTTGAATTTTATAACAATTTTGATAGCAATTTGTTTAGTATTTTTGTGGCAAATATGAAGCAAAGTTTGAGATGTCTGACCGTTAAGGCAATCAATTCAGAAATTGTAATTAAATTCATGTCTCTATTGACACAATTATCTGAATTGAAAGAATTGGGTCTATATTTTGATGACAATTATTATCTTAACTATTGTTTAAGCGATTCATTGATTAAAATAGGCATAAATCTAACAAAATTGAAGCGATTTTCACTTCAATATTCTTCAGAAACGCCGATAATAAGTGCAGTAAATTCACTGAAAAATTTTCATTACTTAAAACATTTATATTTAAATCTCGATTATATTAAAAACGGTAGACAATTGGCCACTGATTGGCGAGCATTGGATTCAATGCAATGTTTGCCACAATTAACACATTTATCACTCGATTTGTGGCAAATTGACAATCAATTGATTGACAAAATCACAACAATTTTTCCTAACCTTAAATATCTGGACATTGATGAGAGGGATAATAAATTTATAAATGACATTAATTTGGTTTTCATCTCAAGACTACGTCTACTGAAGACATTGAAAATACGGGAAGCGATTGGTATTCGTGTTAATGAATGGGATTTAAAGGCAATGTTTAGCACAAGTGATAGATTAGAGTCCATTCATATCACAGCTAACGGGAGATATTGGAGTCCTGAATACAAATGTTATATTCAATTAAAAGACAAACACTTTAAAAATTGGTAATCAATTTATATTGATAAAATCAATAATAAAATAATAATTTATATTGCCGATGTAATGTTAAGATTACTACTGATTAAGTTGATTGACATATGAAATATATTAAAATTATGATAAATTTTTAAATTTATTTCAAAATATTTATTCAAACTAATTTGTAATTTAATATTTTAACAAAAATTGTATTACAATTCAAATAGTTGTAATAATTGTATGAATTGATTAGTAAATCTGTCCATTATTAAAATAATTGATATTCAGTATTGATATAAAGACATTACATTACGTACTATATATTCAACTATAATGTATTTAGTGTTTCACTTGAGTCTAACACATAATTGTAATTTTAACTGTTATCAATGCACGATGATAAAACAACAATTAAGCCTTACACTTGGTTTAAAGTAAAAACCTATTTAACTTATAATTTATAAAACTTAAAGTAGACTTTAATTAATTTGTAATGTATTTTTCCTGAATACTGAATATTGTGTTAATTTCTAATGGCATGAATTGTTTGTATTTTTAACCACAATTCAGTATGAATAATGTGGTTTATAGGATCGTTCGGCTACCCCTCCCCCCTCCTCCCCCCCGCTCTATGGGATTTAACATGGGATTACAGATTAAGTCTAAAGCTTAAATCTTATATTCAAACAATCGTATTGAAAAATTTAAAATCTTTTGATGCATTTCCCGAATTGTGGTTAACGTATAGCATCGCT